AAAGCAAGTGGTTTGAATCCATAGGAGAAAGATGGGCAATCTATTTCCACACAATTTACAGACTGAAAATTCATTGGCGGGCCAGCTATAATTCAGTTCAGACTTGACAGCAATGAGTGAGTGAGTCTTTTTCAAAGGGGTCCCCCAAACCATACTGCTGGAAGGCATCTACTGCACATAAAGAAATCCACCCCTTTTCTGTGCCTGAGGAACACAGCTCCACAGTGGCTAACTACTTGGATTAACTGCTAATTGGAAGGCTGGAGGTTCAAATCCATCAGCTGCTCCATGGGAGAATGATGAGCAGGCTACTTCTGTGAGGTTCTTCATGGTGGAAACAACAGTTGGCAGGTCTGCTCGTCCTCCAAGGTCACTGAGTTGGAAATTACTGGAAGCCAGAGGGCCTGCTTTGGTGTTTTTCTGTGCATCACAATTTTTGCTATGTCCCACTCCTTGGATGGTACTTAATGACAGTCAACCAGTTTTCTGTAGGGCTCAATTCTCTCCTAGAACTCTAAGCAAAGTTGCATTATAGGGAATAAAAGATAAACATGTGACAAAGTAGGCTCCTTTACAAAACTGTAACTCAAGTAAAAATTCCAAAGAAAAATGTCAAAGATACATAATCTCTCTCTTTTTGCAGTCTAATTGGAAGCAACTCATAACTGGCCTTCCACTGAATCTCTGAGGCTGTAAACTAAAGAGAAAACGGCCCATCTTTCTCCTGCAGAGCCACTGGTGGATTCTAACCACCAGAGAGCTATGGCCTTTGGGTCAGCAGAGCAACTTTCTATAGAACAACCTGTACACCAGAGCTCCCTTGATAACAAACTACTATGAACTAGAAATCAAATTCAGAAAAGGAGGCAGAGCAGGAGTTGGCTCTGGTGAAAAATTAACTAGTGGATACAATTATGAGACATCTTGGAGGGGTTACTTAAACTCAAAATGTCAAATTAATTCACAGCAGCTCACAACCCTCTTATCAGCTTTCTGAGGTTCTAACTCTTAATGAGAGGACACCGCACATCTTTCTCCCTTGGAGCCAGTGGATTAAAAGCACAGATATCACAGGGAGAGCAGATTTAAAAATTATTCCTGGCAAAAAAGCTTGAAATAGACTCTGTACTAGGAGTACATGATCAATTCTACTTAATATCAAAGTTGTTCCTTAAGTCCATTTGCAGGTCATAGTGCCAATAAAAATTACTAGGGCAAACATGACAGGAAGGAGCCCTGCTGGCAAAAGTAAGAAGCTGGGAATTAAATGAAGGATTTATGGGTTTAATTTACCCAGCAGTAACGTGGGAGAAAGGGCTTCTGTAAAGATTGGAGCCAAGGAAGCTCACAGGAAATTTTACCCTGTAGAACTATTAGACTCAGCTTGATTACACCTAGCAACAAAATATATTTAAAATAAGTTTAACAGAGAATGGTAAACTGACAAAATTTGTCTCTGACTCTGCTCTTTCAATATTTATGCAAAGAAAATGTAGTTTTTTGTGGGTGTATCCTTTGTCCTAAATGAGTGTTCCAATTCTGACTTGCACAATGATGGCATTTCTTCAGGGAATATAAAACCTGCCAGCATATTTACAAGAATCTCTTAGAGCACATTTACTCGAGTTTCTACAAATTAAATTCCACTGGATTCCTGGGCAAGATCCAGAACACGGTGTGTGGTGGCATTTCTTGCAGGTATCTAAGGGTATATTCACTTGAACACAGTGCATGAAGTTGTAAATCAAATAACCAACCCTACTGTTAGGAAATATCAGCCATATGCTGGATTAGAATCAATCCGTTCACATAATTTAATGTTGACAAAATCATTTCTCTATTCTTTTCTTCTTGTTAACTGGTGTATTGTTGTTGTTGTTAAGTGCCGTCAAGTCGCAGGTGACTCATAGAGACCCTATGAAGGAGAATCCTCGATGCTTGGGTGCCTTTCATCCTCTCTCCAGGTTCATAGGGTTTCCGGAGGCAAGCTATTATGGAAGTGGATGCCACTCCTTCCAAGTTAACTTGTGTAGGCTATACAAATAGTTAATTGGGTGCCATTGAGTCTACTATGATAACCCATAGCAACCCTATGAACAAGAGATCTGAGTGCTGCCTGTTCTTTCCTGTACGATCCTCACATTTCCTGACATGCTCAAGCCCATGGCAGCAATCACTTTGTCCATTCACCTGATTAAGGGTCTTTCCCTCTTTAGCCGACCTTCCACCTTTCCAAGCATGATGTTCTTCTTCAAGGAATTGCCTCCCCTCACAACAATCCTGAAGGACAGGAGATGAAGATTTGCCACCAAGAAACACTCTGGCTGCACTTTCTCCAAGGTAAGTTTGTTTGTTGTTTTGGGAGTCCACAGGATAATTATTACCCTTTTCCAACAGCACATCTCAAAGTATCAATTCTTGTACTCATTGTCCACTGCTGACACACAGCAAGTGATTGAAAAAACCAGGGCCTGTATCAGATGCACCTTAGCCTTCAAACTGACTCCTCAATAATTTGGAGAGGTCCCCAAGTGCAGACTTCTTCAGTGTAATGCGTCTCCTGATTGACTGTGGATTGAAGCAAGATGAAACTGTTGACAACTTTAATTTTCTTCCTTCATCTATCATGATGTTGCCTATCAATAACATAAATGTTGCACCAAATGAAAGTCCTAAAGTAAAAAAATATATAATGTATCACCCCAAACATAAAGGAAACACCCATATGCCTTATCAGTTTGCTTGAATTACGTCTGTTAAATTCTTTTCATTTTAGCCCTTTGATTACCTCACTGCATTAGAATTTATGAGACTGTAGTAAAAACCACTCCACTTGAAAACTAAGCATAGTTTGCATTTAGGCCACAAAGTTTTTAGGCTAAAGAACACAAGCCCAGGGCTGAAATGCAAGAAAGCACTCTTAAGTGGAAAAGAGTGGTCAAGTGCTTTCCCTCCAGGCACTTGAAAAGGCTCCCACCACTCTCTAATCTCTGTCAGTTCTGAACAGATTCCTTGCTGACTATCTAGTGTGTTTTCAGAGGCTGTAAATTGCATAGGAGGATAATGATCACTGACCTTTTTCCTAAGGAGTTGCAGGTGAATTTGAACCACCAGAGAGGCACCATCTTAAAGTTAGCAGTGCAACTCTCTCCACACTACGCTATCAGAATTTCCTCGGATCAGCCCTGCACTTAAGTATAATGAATTCAGACATGAACTCTTGCAGCTAACTGGAAATTCAAGTCATAAAACAGCCCCAGTGAACTAAGAAATTATCTGATAAAGCAGTAGCATGTCTGTTTTGGTTATTTGGGTTTTTGGTGTTTTATTTGTTTATTTTGGAGGGGGCTGTAAATTAGGCTGATAAGAGGTAATGTGTTGTGTAAAGGGTATAACCAGAATAACAGGAAACACATTCTTTTTGGGAGAATGAGTGCCCCTAATGCAAACACATTCTTTTTGGGAGAATGAGTGCCCCTAATGCCTAACTCTTTTTTGCTTAACCATGACCAGTGGAAGGACTATTTTGAATCTGGATAATTTTGTTGAGATTGTCTGGTTCCTTATGATCTGAAGTCTCAAAGAATTCTGAGACCATGAAAATGTGCTTGCCGGTACGGAAAAAGACAACACATAAAGTAATCAAGAAAGCCTCTGTATGGGGATAAAAAATTTCTTCATCACAAAGTGATCTTTCCCACTTGACCATGACTTCCCCCCCCCCTTTTTTTGCTTACCTTCTTTTCTGGAAATTAGGTATTATCTGTTTATGGCATTAGAAAACTGAGAATCCATAGTTGACTTTAAAGAATCTATTTATCCAGTCTCAGGTGAATGTATCCACAAAAGCTTGTCCTTTACTGTACTATGTGTGAAGAATGCAGAACAGGTCTCTTTCCTAAAAATGATCCTTTCAAAATTGCAAATACAAGAACTGCTTAACGCATTGTTTCTTCTTGGGTTATGAAAATATTTGATATTGGTAAATGGTTGCACCACAAATTTATGAATGATCTAAACTATATTAGACCGCACTTTAAACTGGTTAGTTCTATGTTATACCAAGCATACCTTAATAAGTCTTGAAAATATAAACAGAAGACACTGTATGGGCGGTATGTATGGTCTAACCTGTAAAATGTAAACTCCCTCAGGAAGATGTTTATACCCTCCTCTGTAGTAAGAGCTTAGGGCCAAGAACTGCAGGGGGATGGAAGTGGGGGACAAGGTGTCTCACAAACCTAACACAACAACAGGGCACAGCAAAGGGCGGGCAGGGCAAGGCTCCTTGTCAAGCTGTGAGCTTCTCCAATCCCCAGCAATGAAAAGGGTGTAGCTAAGAGTCATCTTCATACTAAACGAATTCCAAGTTAGGTCAACCCTCCAGGGCGAGCTTCTGAAAGTAGATTGCCGACTGGTCCTCACAGCGCCTGCAGACCTGGCTCAGCTAGCAAGGGCGTTTATGTTTGTGTGAACCCCCAGGAACAAATGCTGAATGAATGCCCTTGATCCAGAAGGACCTGTGCTCAGCACTCACCAGATATTGACCAGAGCATTGTGATGTGATGTGCAGAGAGCACTCAGCACACCCTGACAGCTGGTGCCCCGCACTGAGCGGTACAGCACTCAGCGAACCCCGACAGCTGCTGCCCAGCACTGAGCCGTAAAGCATTCAGCGCACCCCGTCAGCTGCTGCCCGGCGATCAGCGGTGCAGCACTGAGCGCACCCCGACTGGCTCCCAGGCGCAGCTCGCTGTCTTCGGGTCCAATCAGGACGCGGCCGCCGCCATCCTTCACGCGCCTGCGCAGCGCAGGGCTGCTGGGATCGCAGTTCCCGCTGCGCCCCTGGAATGGGGACTGGAAGGCGGCCCCTAAGGACGGGCAGAGAGGCAGACTCTCGGCCGCGCCCTCTCAGTCCTTATTGCCATCGTGTGACCTTTCCTCATATAGGGTGAGACCGAACCAATGTCACGATCCGGCCGTGCCTCCTACACACTCACCAGGGTTAGGGCGGCCCGAGTGGGCTGCAGCTTCCTCTTGCTGACAGCCCGGACAGTGGCTCGGACTAGGGAAGCTGACATCTTCGCCGCCCGGGTGCCTCGGGCCAGAGCTCCAAACCCTCAGCCTCTCTCCATGGACACGGCGCGCACTGACGCCACAGGCCACGGCGCACGGCTCCCAGGCCCCGCCCCGCCCCGCCTAGCCCCGGCCCCGCCCCCGGAACTCAGAGCCCTCCCCACAGCTGCCATGTCACGCCCACAAAGCCCAAGCCCCGCCCACTAATCGCAAGTCCCCCCAACATCTCCCATACCAACCTGTAATTTTCCTCTGTGTCAGCCAATTCCTTCTGATACAGTGACTCTTATTTTACTGCTTCCTGGATCATTTAACATTCTACCCAAACTATCCTTAAGTATTGCCAACCGTGGCTTGAATTTGTTTTTCAACTCCTTCAGCTTAAGAAACGCTGAGCGAGTTGGCCCTTTTGATTTTCGGACTCCAGTTCTCTGCACATTTCATTACAGTATCCTGCTTTGTCGTCCCGCGCTGCCTTTTGAAATTTTCTGTTCAGCTCTTTGATTTCTTGGTTTCTTCCTTTAGCTTTGGTTTCTCGGCTCTCTTATAAGAGGTTGTGGTACTAGGAATATTATAGCCAATGTTAGATGGACCTTGACAGAAAGCAGAGAATACCAGAAAAATGTCTATCTGTGCTTCATTGACGATGAAAAGGCTTTTGACTGTGTGGATCACAACAAGCTATGGCTGACTCTAAGAAGAATGGGAATTCCCAGAACATTTGATTGTGCTAATGCGAAACCTATACTTCAAAATCTACTACATGGTTCAAAATCAAGAAGGGGGTCCGTCAGGGATGTATTCTCTCTCCATACCTTTTCAATCTGTATGCAAAACAGATCATCCGAGACACTGGGCAGTACAAGGAGGAATGTGGCATCAGGATTGGTGGAAGAGTCATCAACAACCTCTGTTATGCAGATGACACAACCCTGCTTGCTAAAACTGAGGAGGATCTGAAACGCTTGCTGCAGAAGGTCAAGGACTGCAGCTGCTTATATGGATTGAAGCTCAACATCAAGAAAACCACTGGGCCAATTGGCAGCATCAGTATGAATGGTGAAGAGATTGAGATAGTTAACAGTTTTAGTTTACTTGGCTCTACAGTCAACACTCTTAGTAACAGCAGCCAGGAAATCAAGAGATGTATTGCATTGGGAAAGTCAGCTGGGCATGTTGCAAGGAGCGACTGGTCCTTGGACAGGGACATCATGTTTGGGAGAGTGGAGGGACGGTGCAGGAGGAAGACCCTCAATGAGATGGATTGATTCTGTGAGTGGAGTGGTGGGAATGAGTGTGTTTGAGACGACAAGGTTGGCACAGGATAGAACGGCATTTAGGGCTCTCGTACCATAGGGTTGCTATGAGTCGCAAGCGACTAAGTGGCACATAACAACAACAACCTACGTACTGCTGCCATTGGCTGGATGTGACTTGATTGATGATGCCATTGGCTTGAGTGATGCTCAGAAACAGCAAGGTTGGAGCTTGGAGTAATTTCTGCCAGGTGAGTGATTGGGGATGAGTGAGTGGGGACCTTCATGACCTAGTGATGTCCACAAGGGTTGGTGTCAGATTTAATGTCAAATTATATAGATTTCCTCTATTATACAGATTCTCAAGCAATGGTTATTGTCTATTTTCTTCATCAAATTGTCCTTAAGTGTTGTCAAATGAACTACAAATAATATGTAAGAAATGTTAAGTGCCATTGAGTCCTCTACAGTTCAGGGTGAACCTCTTAACAATGGGTCTGAAACCTGCCTTATCTTATCATCCCTACCATCCAGAGACCACTGCTACCATCACAGTGTTAATCTTATTGAGGTTCTTCCTCTCTTTTGCTGACCCTCCATCTTCCCTAAAACAATGTCTTTTTCCAAGGACTGGACCGTCTTAACAACATACTCAAATTAGGTGAGTCAAAGTTTCACCATTTTTGCCACTAAGGAGCACTCTGATACTTTCTTGAAGACATATTTGTTCTTTTGGCAGGCCATTGAATATTCAGTACTCTTGTCCAACACCACAACTTAAAGACATCTATTCTTCTTTTATCATCCTTAGTCATAATTCAATTTTCAGATGCATAGACAGTAATGGAAAACACCATGGCTTGGATAAGGTGCACCTTAGTCTTTATATTGAAATTGCTACTACTCAACTCTGAAAGGTCTTTGACAGCAGATTACTCAATGCAATGCATCTTTTAATTTCTTGTTTACTGATACCAAAGGTGTTGATTGTGGATTCAAGTAAAATGAAATTGAAAATTTCAGTCTTTTCTTCATCTATGAGATGGATCAATTCTGTGATTGGGGTGGTGGGAGTAAGTGTGTTGGAGACAGTGAGGTTGGCACAGGATAGAGCAGGGTTTATGAGTCACAAGCAACTCGAGGGCACCTAACAACAATAACAGTCTTGCTGTTGCCTGTGCTCCGGTGAGGATTTTTGTTTTCTTGATATTGAGATCTAATTTGATCTTATGCAGCAAGCATTTCAAGTCTTGCTTGTTTTTGCAAGTAAGATAGTGTCATCTGCATAACGCAGGTTGTTGATGAGGCTTCCTTCAATCCTGATGCCACATTCTTCATAAAGTTTAGCTTCTTGAATTATTTGCTCTGCATACAGAATGAATAAGTATGAAGAAAGGATACAATTTCTTCTTGGTCAAGGTATAGGTTTTGCATGGCACAATTAAGTGTTCTGGGATTCTTATAAATTTTAGCCAAAATTTATAAATGTAATTATAATCTTTGCAAAATAGATTATATGAACCAAAAAGAATCTCAACAAAGATACTCAAGAATTAAACTACACAATTAACCAACTCGATCTTATAGATATTTATAGGCTAATGGACCCCAAAAAAGCACAATATACCTTCTTTTCCAATGTGCATGGAACATTCTCCAGAATAGATCACATTCTAGGTCACAAAGCAAGCATCAACAAATTA